CGAACGCCCGGGCCGCGCGCGCGGACGGGAGCCGCCGCTTACCTGCCTCCCCCTCGAACGCCTTCCGACTGGCCTCCGGGGGGCACCGCGTTAGGCCACCGGCCTTAGCGCCTTAGCCGTCTCATTAGATCCACGCGGAGGGGGCGGGAAACTCCGGGAGCTCTTGCATATTATTATTATCACAGGAGGGCTTCAAGAAGCCAGCGAGGCGGCTTCGGGGGCCCTCGCCTCCCGCCTTCCGAGTTTCCCTAGCGGCTGGGTAGTAGGCAAAAGTCCTGGCTCGCTCGGGAGACCCTGCATTAGCTTTTCCCCCGACCGCGCTTCTTTCAGAGCGCCTCGCCTCGACTCCAGCGGAGTTTGATACAAGTCTGAAACTCCCCCTCCCGGGTCCATCACATTTTAGCAGTTCAAGCGGCGAGGAGCTGTGTCCCCGCCCGCGGTCCCACCCCGAGCCGCCGCGAGTCGAATGTTCACGGCTTTAACGTTCTGACCACGCCCAGCGCCGAACGTTCAGGAGGCTGCAAAATTGTGAGACCGCCCCTCAAAATCCCGCCTCCACTTTCTTTTCCACCACTCTGTTTACTCGTGTTTGGATAGCAACTTGGCTTTAAAGGGACAGAGATCTTTTTTCCCCTCTCTCCCCCTTCTTACACATTACCTAAGGTGACTTTTTCTTTGAGAAAACAGGGCCAGGTCATAAATCAAACCTTCCTTTCTTAGACTGCTGTATCCCTGGCTACATCAGCTGCAGGAGCTTCAGTGGTTATTTCAAAGCAACCCCATTCCCCCAACTTAGATGTGTCCAGAATATCACTGATAGGTATTAAACATCCTAATTTTATTTTATACTACTATACAGACAGTAATTTCTAAGTCCTTACATTCTCCTCCCCCATTCATATAAAACAAATCACTATTAAATTGTTTTTGAAAGTTCTACTCTCTATTTCTTGTTTTTCCGTTTTACTGATATTCTTCTTTGGGCTGCAAGGTTTTGGGAA